CAGAACTCCTCCCCAAGCAAAGCTGTGACATTTCTAACCTATTTCCACCAGCATTTTAGCACCCTAACAAGCTCAACTTTGAGAAAACTAAAAAATAAGGATTATTGAAAGAAACATTTGTTAATTTATCCAAAGGGAGCACAAGTTCACTGGCACCCATTGTTTTGCCTTTCTGCTCCCTTTGTTTTTCCCCTTGAGCTGGTAAATGAAACCCACCTAAGGGGAAATTATTCACACAAGCAGCTGGAAAGGCAGGACAGTAGATTTCCTACAGGAATACAATTTACTGCAGTAGCTACAATCACATCTGGTATTTCAAAGCCATTCCAGTGTCACCAGACCCTCAGCCTACCATTGGCTCCACTGCTAATTGCATTGCAAAGCCACAGCCCTGAAGCCCACGAGGCAGATGAAGATCATATGGCTGCAGAGCCCAGGGAACAAACACCAGAGAGTTCCAGGGGCTGGTGATGAGCTCAAGACCTTCTGACCTCTTGGTTACCTGGGTCGGGCACTTCAAAGCAGAATTAGAGCAGAGGACTCAGCGTGACACAAATCCCAGTTTGTTTGCTTGACATCCTCACAGTCCAGAGCAAAGCAGGGACCTCAGGCAATGAGCAGACAATTAGGTGATGGAGAGAATGACTCAGAGAGCAAGATCCTGTCACTAAAAGGAGAGAGAACCACATTTGGCCAATATGTATAGTTTTATATTCCACACCCACTTAAAAGTCATGAGAGGTTCAGAATTTGAGGCTGAAATAAGGTTCAAGTCATCTGTCTCTAGTGAAGAGAGAATTAATAAAAATCCATCAGGAAAACTCTAGATACACATTCTGAAAGCATTCTTACAGACTACATAAATAGGGACACTTATTCATAGATGACCTTTTAATATTAAGAACAGGCTTCTATCACATAAAGACACTCACAGTTACTTAAAAGAACTAAAATCTCACCTGAGAGGCTGGAGGTTACTACATTTCAGTACAGTTGTGTTGAGGAGGGTCATTTCCAGCCCAGCACAGATGGAGCTGTAGGACCAGGCACAACACAGGCAGTTATTCTGGACAGAACACATCTGCCTACAGGAGGTCCACACAGACATCTTGGTCTTGAGAGACAGACATCCAAGTGACCTGCTAGGAAACTGGGAGCCTCAAGGAATAATTGACAACATATTTCAAGCACCAACACTTTGGGTTTCTCAGGGAAGCAAGACAAGCTACAGTACTGGAAAGCTGATGTCTGTTTAAATATCATTCCCACATCAAAGCAGCTCACAGAGCCTGTTTAACTATTCCATGGAATCCATGGCAAAGGGATTTGCCCCTGATATGGAGTAAACCATTGGCAGAGGAGCAACTGGGACCCAGGTCTCACTCTCCTGGGCTGTGCTCTGAGTCACAACACGAAATGACCAAAGGCCACCTGGCCTTCCATGTCAAAGCCTCTGCCAACTAAATATTGCAATAAATTACTTAAGCTATCAGATATTACTTGCCTCTCCATATCCATCCTCAAGAAACATCACTGCTGTAGGAATCACTGGGAATATCTGTGACCAAATGTGCAATTAACAGTATAATGTGGATAAGAATACCTATTTGTACAGCCCTGTTATTTGTAACATCATGGTTCTAATGTTCATTAACAGGAAGACATTTTTAGGCTGAACAGTGTTTTAAAGACCTAACTGCTACAGCTGGAATTGCATCCACCCCAGAGGGCTTTTGTGATGGTACTGTAATGATCCCAGTGAAAAAATTATCATCCTACATTGCTTTTGGGTTCATGTTTTGGGATTTTCTATCAGCCACCTCCAAGTCTCATCCAAAGAGGTTTCTAGTCTAAGCCCTGCATCTATTCTCAGAAGTTTCAGACTCCCACAATTAAGTTCACAAGGACTCAATGTGTGACTAATTAGAAAGTACAGGAAAATAGAATGAGGAGTTGGGAGAGCACCAACCCCAAAGACAACTAACACAGAGGCAGTGTTCCTTGACAACTGAGCTACTTCCAGCATGGGAACAAGCTTCCCTTAACTCAGCTAGCAAAGCTTCTCAGAGCTTGGAGGAAGATTTCTCCTTGGCAGGCAGCCCCTCCATTCTTATGCTTCCAGTAAGGCCCACTTCCCATTCATTGCCTTAACAGCAGCAAGTTCAAAATGCATGCACTGAATGGGAATTTCAAGCTAAATTGAGAGGCTGTTGCAGTCCATACAATGCCAGCAGACACTGCTGCCTGGATTTCAGGCAGCACATCAGAAGTTCAATTCAAGCACATGCAAAGATAGACTGCAAATGTCTTTGGTCTAATAACCAAGACTTGTAAACTGAAGCCAACCAGAAGCTAGAATATTCATTAAAAACAGGGAAACAAAGAATACATCATTACTCCCAAACAAATATTCCATGGCTTCACTTTGAAGAATGTGAATAACAGTAATTTTTTCCTCCAAATTTCCCTTCACCACCACCCCAAGTTTTTACAGTGCTCAGGGCCTTATTTTTTTGGCAGGAAACATGGTCAGCAGTCCTCAGAGCCTCAGGAGCCCATCTCTGAGCCAGCATGCAACCAAGGGCTGTATCAGCACAAAGGACTCCAGAAACTTCTCCCCTTGAAGAAATACAGCTCTTATAACAAGTTAATTTTTAGAAAATTGATAGCAGATTCCCAAACAGCTCAATCACTTGTTGATCAAAGACAGGAAAAGACAACTGCAGAAAGATGGTGTGTCTTGTATCAAGGAAACCTGTCCACTGTAAGGCATCCCATCAGTGTGTGCTGCAATGTACCAACACCTGGAGCTGCAGCAGGAACTTTCAAGGCTCTGTCCCCGATTATTTTTGGCTCAGAAAAGTGCCAGAAGTCACTGGACAAAGCACACACACTGAAGAAGAGAAAGTGGGAATGGCAATATAGTGCCATTAATACCACTATATGACCATTGTATAAAGCAATCACCTTCCCACCATCTTATCTGCTCCGCAGCCTCTCCAAAGAGGCCAGAAACTTTCATTGTGATGGAGCTGTTGTTGCTGCACATAATTCAGGTGCTACCAAGATCCCCTGTTTCAATGGCAAAAGGGACAATGAACAACATAAAAACCCATCCATACTAATCTGATCAGTCCTTTAAAAAAGGCTTTGCACCCCTATAGATCAATATCAATGTCAAACTCAGAGCAAAAAGCCTCACTCCTGTCATGGACCATATTAAATTGAGAAAAGTCCAGTTATCCCAACCTGAAACTGCACCCAGCAGGAGACTTCCCTCAAAAGTCCAACACTGTGGCTGGGGAAAGTTTTCCCACACTGATTTTCCCATCAGAAAGTGAAGCTGTTAGACATTTGCCAACAACAAAACTTCACCACTCAAGGGGAAATTAAAACATACAAAGATTGCTTCAACGTGTGATATTTAACTGAGCACTTGAATTTTTCTTTCACAACATCCACTGGTGATTTTTTCCTCCCTTCAGTTTTTTACTTCCCCCTCTGTATTAAACTAGAATGGGAGAGTCTCCCAGGGCAAAGCTCCATCAGACATAAAAAATAAATCTAAAAATTTTACCAGTTTTCCCCAGCATCATTGTTTAGATCAGGTTTATGTGGTTTTACACAACACTTTATAGACTTGGAGAGAGACATTCCCCTGACAAAGCATCAGCTATCCAAACCATTGAGGCATGGGAAAGCTGTGCAAGAGTGGGAGCTGGGGAAGGTCTTTGGTGAGCAGAGTCCACACTCATGTAAGTGTGGTAGCTCTGAACAAAGATCTGCAGGCTAATAGATATGTAAGACAAATGACATGTGGTTCTCATTGCAGCTCAGGCTTTGGGAAGGGGGTACCTTGGAAGAGATCCAGCTGGGATAGGTTTATCCCATTACTCTCCTATAATTTTCTGCCGTTTCAAACCCTTTGACAGTTGCTGTAGTTTAACATCACACCCCCTGCAGCCCCAGGGCTGTCTGACAGCGCAGCGGACAAAGCCACCTCCCCCCGGGGGGAAATCCGCACCATATGCGAGCCCCGTGCAAGGCACAGGGCTGGTGCCGCCCCTGCTCCTCCGATCCGCCACGGAAATCCACGGAGTCCGAGCATTTTCCCAATGCCCAGCCCAAGTAAGCCGTGCTAACAGAAGCCCTCCTCCACAGCAGCACAACTCACGCAGACTAGGTATTAGCAAGGGAGGAGGAAAAGAGGTAGAGACAGGATGGACGAGCCTTGAATATTAAATCTCAAGTCCCCACTTAAGGGAATGACGGGGGGAAAAAAAAGAAAAAAGTGAAATTCAAGAACAACTGGAATCAGGTTAAGCCACTCTCTTGCTTTATACAGTGCAGCTCATTCATCTGAACAGCTGTTTCACCTCTAGAGAAATACCCAGAGAAAACAGAGGGGAGGGGGAGAAGCCTAAATTGTTTGCTCTACTGAAGCAGTAAGACACAGTAAATCAAACCTGATTTATATTAAGTTTATAAGAAATTGGGTTGAGGTGGGGGGAGAGGAGAAGACTGGGAGGTTTGGATTTAAACAGCTACTTGGAAGTTGCAGCTCTTGAAGAAAGATCTGTAATTTAGGGCTTTTCTTTGTTGAGCTGAACAAGTTTCTCCTCGCAGCCGAGGGCTATAACAGTTCCCTCTGCCGGCATCCCCCGTGTCCCGGCTCGGGAGGTTTTCCTGCTCCGGGACGCGCAGCCCCGCAAAGCCCCTTCCCCTCCCCGCGGGGCTGGGCGCGGCCGGGGGACACTGCGGGTGTCATTTAGCCACGCTCAGCTGCTCGATCCCTGCCCCAGGAGGCGGACACTGCTGCGGGCAGGTAGGGAGCGTCCCGCGCCCCACGGAGGATGCGGGCAGCCCAACCCAGCCCGGCTGGCCGAGGGGCAGCAGCCCAGCACCCCCTGCACCCTCCGAGGCACCGCTGCCCCGTTTGTCCCCGGGGCCACCGGCGGGACGCAGCCTCCTGGCCCGGAGGCGGACCCGCTCTTACTCACCGGCGACTGGCGAAGCCGCTGCCCGGCGAGCCGGAGCTCTGCTCTGGGTAGTTGTGCTGCAGGGTTGATGCTGGGAATTGATAGAGGAAGCCAGTGCCCAGCGCGCATCCGTGCAGGCAGCAGCACCAGGACAAGAAAAGAGCGAGCTGCATTTTTGCAGGAACGGGGTTTTCCTACCGCCTCCCCCTTCCCTCTCACACTGCACGGCAGGCGCAGGGCCACACCACGCTCCCCGGCCGGGGTCACGGCGGGATCCCGAGGCACGGAGGAGCCCCGGGAGCGGGGAGCAGGGGCAGGGGTGCCGGGCACAGGGGATGGACGCTCCGGCTGCCAAAGGGAAGCCCCGACCCTCGGCAAGCCGAGCCCCGGCGGCTGCGGCTGCTGCCCGCGCAGGGGGTCCGGGGCCAGCGCGGCTCGATGCTCCCAGGGCGCACACTCAGCCCCGGATGCCTTTTCAAATTTGGCGAGGTTGGCCCGATTCCGTCAAAGGGGGCGTGGGGCTTCGGCGTTAACCCTTGCCAGGCCTCGCTGCAGACCCCGCTGCCGAGGGGTTCCAGACGAGCTGCGCTCCCGCGGGACACGGAACCCGCGGGGCTGCGCCTTGCCCCGGACACAGCCGGCAACACCCCGAGGGCAGGGAGAGCCCGGGGAGCCCCAGGCACCCATCACCGACACAGCAGAATCCATGTGTCTCCTCAGTTAACCGAGGGCCAGGTCGAAGGGAACTCACTGCCGAAATGCCCCAGAGCTGCTGTCTGCTGCCACTAACAGAGATAACTTCTGCTGCAGAAGTTACACAGATAAAATAGGAAATAAATAATTTAAAGACATTTCATTCACACGGTAAGCAGTGAGAAACTGATCCTTGCTTTCACCATCCTGCTCATTCTAGCATCACTCAGATGGAGACATGGATTAGTGGTGAACATGACAGTGCGAGGTTGACTGTTGGACTCAATGATCTTAGAGATCTTTTCCAACCTTCATGAGCCTATGATTCCCACACAGGCACTCCCTTTGCCACCACTTCCCACAGACGCCCTTGGTTTATCAGGATGGACCTGAACTTGAAGAGGCAGGAGGAACATTTTTGCAGTTGTAGATGAACATTTTGCAGTTGTTTGTGGGTGTTTTGCAACAGTAACACCCCAAGAAGGACGGCAGCAGCAAGGCTCCCCCTCAGTACAGCAGCTGAATCTATGTTTAAAACTCTTGTACATCTCCCATTCAGCAACAGTGTCAGGACCCTTTCTGCCGGCTCAGTATCCCCTTCCCAGCTCCAGAGGAACCTGGGCTGTTGCACCTCACTGATTAGGCAAGCTACTTCTCTGCACCAAACACCTCAAGAAGGGATTTAATTTTTAAGATGACACAACTGTCTTTCTAAATTTTTTACCCTCAGATCCTGCAAGCTCTCAACACCCCCTCTGCACCTTCACTGTGCAGTGAGCCAAAGACACCCCTGATGTACCACTGAAATCAAGTCTCTTGCTGGGGTTTTCTAAGGGCCCAGGGCCCCCCCATGGGGCTCTGCAAAGGCAGGGACCCTCTTCCCTCAAGGGCAATACAAACCCTGCAAAATGCTGCAGCTGAAAAAATGTTCCCTACAAGACCCTGGGAAAATGCAGTATCCTGTATCTGGCATTTGCCCCCAGCCACAGGTGAGCAGCTACCCCTGCCCCCACAGTGCCCACCTCCAGAGCCTGCACACAGAGATAAATAGCCCCTGGCTGGAGCCTGGAACCAGACACGTTTAGACTGCAAATGAGGCACCAGGTTTTTAAACAGCCGCTGCCATTAATCACTGAAGCAAATCACACGAGGAGGCAGAGATGCAGTTTGCACTGCAGCTCAGCACAGCCTCCCCAGGCTGCCCCAGAGCCAGAGCTGGGGCAGGCAGTGCACCAGCACTCTGAGCCTAAAAGGACCTAAAAGTTCTGCTCCAGCAACACTGGATGCAAAGCCCACTCAGAAACAGACACTATATATTTACAAAAAGCTCTCAGTGCCTGAAGGATGGATGTAACAGGGCCCTCTATCCCCAGGCCTGCAGGCTGAGCACTCTTCCCTTTATGTTCCCCTCAGCTCCAGCAAGGGAATGTTTTCCCTTCCCTTCTCTCACCCCTAAAAAGCACACAGCTCCCAGAAAGTCACCCTGGGATGTTCAGCCTTTCAGACATGCTGCTCAGAGTCAGTCCTCAGGAAACCTCTGCTCAGCCTGGCAGGGCAACACAAGAAGAGATTGCTCTTCCCTCTAAGCTGGACTACAGACTACTCCAAATTCAGCCTTCACCTAGGAAAGGAGAGGAACAGCAAAACACTGAGCAGTTCTGTAAGACCCCCCTTCCCCTCAACCTAGGTGCTCATCCTCAGCTCTGTGTGCACAAAGCTTCTTGCAGCACCAGACTGAGAGTTGAGGGCAGGGTTCAGGGTTCAGGGTTTTGTCCCAGTCACACTTCTTTCTCCTGACAGGCTCAGATAGATCATTTATCAATATTTAACACCAAACAGCACCAGTGGCTTTCCAACCTGGCCTGGGTTAGATCCTTCAGAAGCTCTTTGTAGTCTTCAACTCTTAAATTTCCAAAGCATTTTGTTTTCAGCTGCATGGAAAATTTGCTGCTTCAGCCTTCACTGATTTTGCAAGACCCTAGGAGATATTAAACACAGGTGATTAGACAAGACATGATTCTGGGAAATTATGAGAGACATCTGTAGGAAGCAAATGGTCTTCCTATTTCATGAACTGAGAGTGTGGAGACCAGAGGTCAAATGACTTTGCTCAAGACTGCAAAGAGCTAAAGGCAGAGCCAGAAACAGAGCTCACATCTCCAGCCTCCCATTATTTCTGCTGTGTCCCTAACGCACACTTGCTTCTATTCTGTATGGCTGATTTAAAATGAAAATGAAGAATTGACTTCCAAGCTGTTTCTGGAAAGAGAAAAGAAAGGGTGATATTGTCTACTGTAAGGGGAGAATTAAAGATGACATTTCATTTTAGTCCTTTGGATATGTGTAATATAATCAAACACAATAGCAGTAATAAATGAATATTTTTTCTCCCCACGGTGCTTACGAGTGCAACATATTCTAACAATTTCTCAAAACTATGTTGATAAATTGGAAACACAGTGATGGAGGTAATGAAGACAGCCAACAAAAACATAATCCCTTCAATTTATCAGAGGGACTGGCTTTGAGAAGAAAACCCTTGAAATCTGAACAGTCCTGTTCTTATAAACCAAACGTAATATATTTAAAATAGAAAGCTACACTTTTTATGCCTGTTAATTAAAGATTTGCCCAGGCAAGCAGGGCTAAATAAATTATTTGGATGCATTTCACGAATTCTGTTCAAGATAAAAGGGGCAGATGCACACTGGAAAGCCACAATGCAGAGCAGCACTGGGGGAAATAAGTAGAATAAGGGGCAGGTTTTTATTTACCAACCCTGTGACCTCTCTGTAATAAAGAAGAAATCCTTGGAGGACTGTCCTCCTGTACTCTGCTCACCTGCTATGCAAATGCCAGCCTTACACTGTCATGTCAGAAGGATAATCCATTGGACAAAAATCATGTGGGCACATGGACTGCGTTTCAACTTCCCAGTCCACTGGGCAAACCTGACTTAAAACATCAGAAACTGTACTGAGAAAATATCTATAATTTATTTAACTATACACACCCTGCATGCAAGCCAATCAATAAATGAAGTGGTGAAAAATAGAGAGAATAAAATGAATAATCAAAGTTTAGTCTGATTTTAGTACAGTTGAAAGGGAAAAACTGGAATGATGCAGCAAAAGAGGGATCTGTGGCACAAAAAGGTAGAAAAGCACTGTTGTAGCTCTAAGCAGACTGCAGCTCCACAACAGAAATGCCATCTCAACTTTTCAGCACCACTTTTATTCCAAAAGTCAGTAATTAGCTGAAAAAGAAAAGTCACAATGTTGTTAGAATCATACCAAACAAATTTTGAAAGGGCAATCTCTAGGATTTTTCAAGTGCACTTTTCATGTGGATACTAAGAAGAGACCAAAGGAAAAGCAGCTTTGTTCTGGTTGATAAAACCTTGAGGAGCTTTAGAATTATGAAGTGTCCTTTTGAAGCTAGAATGAAGTCATTGATAAGATCATCTAAACCCAAAAATAATTTAGATAAACCCCTTCTAGCTTCCTAAAATGCCTAGATCATTGTGATATACAAAGCATTCAAGAAAGATTGGAAAATTGAAAGAGATGGATAAGAGGTTAGCAACAGTAAGAGTTCAAGACCTCTATTATAAATTGAATTATAAGATCACTAAGGTTATTGTAACATGCCTGTTACTGGGGAGTCAAAGAAACCTGAGCCAGACTGAAAATTTTGTGGCACTATGGAAGTTTTTATTCTAAGCCATTGTGTGGACATTTCTTACATTTGACCAGGAATAAATTAATCACAACTCAGAATGGAATAGAATTGAAAAAAGGCTCACTTACACAAGCAGTTTAACATACAGCAAACATGATGGACAGCGTTATTGTGTGAAGCATGAGAAATGAGTCAGAAGTCATGAATGGCAAAATTCATTGACCATAGATGAGACCTTTGCCTGAGTGAAGCACTTGTGTGGGTATTATAAAGTAATACAAGGGATAAAATAACTCAGATTGAAGCATAATTCAGCAGATGGAAAATGTGATGACTCAACTGATCAGCAAGACAATGCCTGTGTCCGGTGGAATTATACATACTCTGAGCATGATTGTGTCCTGGCAAAAAAGATTGATGTCACCTTTGATGTCAGGCACTGATCTGCACAGGCCAGGGAGTTTGTGGACACACCCTTGATCCATCAGAATCATCAAGAATGCAGCAGGGGTGCACACAGGTGTGACAAAGACAAGGCAGAAATAGCACCAAGGCTATTGCACTCAGACCTGCCAGAGTAGGAACACATCCAGAAGTGGCCAGGCAGGACTGTGAGAGTTACCTAACCCTTCCTCCTCCCAGTAAGGAAAGATCTGTTATACACAGATTATTGTTGGCACAATTTTTTCTGCCTTGTTCTGAAAGACCTCAAGATAGAAAGTCTCCATGGTCATCTGAAAACAAATTTCAATGTTTGTGCTCTGTTCTGGTAGTTTTTATCCAACCTCATTCTGCTTTACTGTAATTTAAGCTCCTAATGGCTTACTTTTTCATTATGGATGTAGAAAACTATTTATTCTCTCATTGCAGAGTCTTTTAATTCCTCAACATAGCTTTAATAACATTCTTTGTCTTCTAGGAACAAAACAACAGCAGTTTCCTCAGGTCATGTTAGACAGTTCTGCTTCTGTTTGGTATTCTCCTCTGCATTTTCCAACAGGTCTACATCTATTTTATGGTATACATGACTTATATTTCTGTGGAATACCACTGCCCTGCTGCGTATT